AGAAACTGGCTTTCCTCTTGCCATTTTTCCGTATTGGGAACATTTGTGAGTAGTTGTCATTTTAAATGAGTCTACTACCCGAGTTATTGATCTCTGAAGGTCTTCCAGACGTACAATTGGCCTTTGGCACACATCTTCCTTATTATTAATGCCATTGGAGCTCTGGATGTATGTTTAGTGCCTTTGTCCTGCTGGAAGTTGAATCTTCACAGTCTTTCACATCGGAACAACATGATGCTGCCACCACCGTGTTCCAGCTGGGAGGTGGTGGACATAAAACATGATAGCAGTGTTCACCAGAGTTCATTAATTATCCTCAGCTCCTCACAGAACACTTGTATTTTTTTTTACAGAGATTAAATCAATGTTTCCCAGTTATTGGTTTTATTAAGACAACTCTTGCATTTGTTTTTATTTAGGGATTATAGAGTAAAGGGGGCTGGAGGAAAATGGTGAATACGCTGGTGCGGGTCTAGTTGAAAATGGATGACTAAAAACAGAATACATAGGGTATGGAGTAGAAATTTGCAGCTTGCTGCCACTTTGCTGATGGACACAACCCCCTCCAAACACACACATACAATCATGTTTAGCTCCCCCGCCCTCCCTCCCGTCCGCCCTCATTTGTAGAGACCAACGTTAAGCAGGGACCCACCGGGAAACGTCCTCCTGTTCTGCCGTCTGCCTTGGCTCAGATAAAGAAGCAGCTCCCCGCCCCCTGCAGAAAAGAAAAGGTGAAAAGAGGTGTGGCCGGGTCCAAAGGGGAAAAGCGTCTGAGCGAAAAACGCGGAAGAAATAGGGGCGCTATCCGAAAGTGACAGATGCGTTGAAATTTGACAGAGAAGAGGGAGGGCAAGGGGGCAACGAGTGACATAAGTATGGAGTCTGGGGGGATTCTGGGTGTTTGACTGCAGTCAGACTTTGCACAGTGTGTCCAATGTCACTTCACATTTGCATAAACACAAGATGGTGTGAGTTTTAATGTGTGTGTGTGGCGGGGTTTTGTTTTATTGGGGAGATTTTTGAATGTGCAGGAGAGACATGATGGTCGGGGAGCGCTAATTAAGTCACCGTGGGACCAAGATGGACGGCCTGGCAGTCAAACATCCTCACACACTCACATGCATACACTCCCTCAACATCCCGCCTGCTGTGTGGAGCTGCGATGTGCATCGTTTGCCACCATAATCATCTGCCATTGCTTCTCCCTTCTCTCTCTCTTTCTCTTTCTTTCTCCAGGTAAGCCGGTGATGATTATCACGGAGTACATGGAGAACGGATCGCTGGATGCATTCCTGAGGGTCAGTCATGCGTTTCTGTCCGCGCAGACTTGTGCACGGGTGTCGGTGTGTGACATGACTGTAGCGATGCCATCTTATCTCTGTAATGTCATCCGCTGAAATAACAAGTGTTGGTTCACAAACACCGACCCTAATCCTTATCCGCTTTGATCAACTCATGCTTTTCCTGACAAGGAGGTTTCACCTCTGTTTTTCAGGTTCACTACACGCGAGATGCTCGCTGATCCTAGGCAATACACAGAACATGCTGGGAAAGTAGGCTGACATTTAAAAGAGGAAAATGCAAAGACTAGTGACTGCTGCAAATACCTTCATGCATTAGACATTTTAAACAAAAACACATAACATAATCTAAAAGTAGCTCCTTTTTCTGCAACATGTCGAGTATTAAAGTTGTAACATTGCCGTTTATGATTGTCATTTTTTTGGTATTTTTTATTCCTTCACGGAATAATTCATTCAGAAACACAAGTGGCAAAGTCAGGGTATAGCAAGACTTTGTAAAATTAGGGTTACCAACACCCCTCAACGTCTCATCAAACTTGAGATGCAAGAGAAAGTTACTAGAATTTTCTTCAGTTGTACGGAGCGTGCAGTAAAACAGTGATGCTGTTGCTGTTTACTAAGAGAAGGAATTCACAGTTTTCTCATTCGTACAAGAAACAAAAGAAAGACACAAGAAAAATGTACTTGTTGGGAATGTTTCCAGTTCCTAAAACATGCCAGTCAAGAATAGTTTGGAGAATGTGGCTTAAAATTAGATTTGAAACCAAGTGCTGGAAATTTTCACACCACTTGTGCTGCACATTTTGGACAATGGACCAAACTCCTGACCGTTGTCATTGTGTCATCGTCATGTCCGATAGAGTAGATGGTCTCGTGTCGTGCCACCACAAGAACCTGCCCAGTAGACCTACCCAGCAGGGTGTTCTGTATATGTATGAGATAAAGCAGAAAAAGATGATATATGTGAGTACAAAATGTTGCAGTTGTTACAATGACGCAAACCAGGTTTCCACAATTCTCAGATTTTCACATTTCAAAAACACACAAATGATCCATTTCCTCAGGTGTTTTTTGTTTCCTTTTTCTAGTGATTCAAAGTCCTGACATCTACAACAGTGGGAATTTCCTCTGTTTTTTTGCAGAAGAATGATGGTCGCTTCACAGTCATCCAGCTGGTTGGCATCCTGCGCGGCATTGCATCAGGCATGAAGTACCTGTCAGACATGAGCTACGTTCACCGCGACTTAGCCGCTCGCAACATCCTGGTGAACAGCAACCTGGTGTGCAAGGTGTCTGACTTTGGCATGTCACGAGTGCTGGAAGACGACCCGGAGGCTGCGTACACCACCAGGGTGAGCGTGCGAGCGTGTGTCTTTTGTATCCGTGTGCCCAGCTGTGTATGCGCCGGTCACCTTATTTGTCAGCTTTAATTTATCAGCCCGGCATCCAATTACAGGGAGGCAAGATCCCCATTCGCTGGACGGCCCCAGAGGCCATCGCTTACAGGAAGTTCACCTCAGCCAGTGATGTGTGGAGTTACGGCATCGTCATGTGGGAGGTGATGTCATATGGCGAGCGACCGTACTGGGACATGAGTAATCAAGACGTAAGTCTGAGGAAACATGATTGTGTGTAACAGCTCGTAAATAACAGACAGTCTGTATTAGTTTTATCATTCCACCTTAAACATTAATTAAGATAAGAATGTGCAACACACAGCATGACCTGGTTTCTGTGACATTTATATTCCATTTATGATAACACAGAGTTGAATTTCACTTAAACTAAAAGTTTTTTCAAGGAAAAATACATTACAAGTAATTACATTTCCTTAAAAAAAAAAAAAAAAAAAAAAAAAACTACCAGAATCCTGGGAATTAACATCAGCATCCATCTACTGTTTTGCTAGGTGATCAAGGCTATTGATGAGGGCTATCGGCTGCCTCCACCCATGGACTGCCCTGTGGCTCTCCACCAGCTCATGCTGGACTGCTGGCAGCGAGAGAGAGCCGACCGGCCAAAGTTCGGACAGATCGTCAACATGCTGGATAAGCTGATCCGCAACCCCAACACCCTGAAGAGGACCGGGGGAGAGACCGCTGTCAGGTGACGGAGCGAGACCGCAGAAAACGTGATGCTGGGATGGCGGTTTTTATAAGACTGGCTCTTTGGTCATGTTGATGCTAAAACTGGGTGTGCACACTTAAGTTCTAGCTTTACAGACAAATGATCTAAAGAGAACCCGATTTAAAGCTACAGGTTGTTGATAAGACGGGAGTCCAATTTTTAATTTGCACCGACCCATGCGAGGGACACAATAGGAACAAAGTGCTGTGGTTGAACTAGGACAAATTTGAGATTTCTGTCCAACAAATAAAACGCACACTTCACACCACCTAGTCCGACTGAGCTTGAGCTTTGTCACAAAGAAGACTGATGAAAAGCCTTTATTTTCTGGACAGCACGTCAACCACGCAATGGGGAAGCACAGTTGTTTGAGATTAAAATATGTAATTAATTATGTACTAACCACTAAACTCACATAATGCACTATGTAGTTAGTATCTGGCCACGCACGCTCACATCTACGCTTTTTATTCACATCGCCATTAAACATTATCTAGCAGCATTTTGCGGCTGTTTTCCGCACAGATACCCTCCCTAATGGATTTCTCTGCATACTCGCGTTAATGGCGCTGTACATTCAGGAATGCAGCCACTCTAATGGGGGGGGGGGGGGGATTTACGATGTAACAGCGAGTTAGAAACAAACACGACCCTGCAGCTCCGCCGCCATTACTCTCCGGCGGCTAAAAGCGTTAAGAATGACCTGTGTGTTTACAGACTCGGCACGGAGCAGCGGGAGTCTGTTTGACTTTAACGAGTGTGTGAGCGCACGCGAGCGGGTTGCGCAGACTCACAGTCACCTAAGGGGACGAGGGGAGAGCTAGGAGGGAGTCCTCATGGAATAATTAGCGGGGCTGGATCCTATAAATGAGGCCTTTTGCAGTTACGGACCGAGAAGCGTGTGCGGGTTTAAAGGGATCTCCGCACTCATTCTGTTCCCACCTAATGAGTGGAGGTGACTTAAGGGGTCCAACGTTACCTTACTTCACCTCAGCATAGTTTTTTTTTTTTTTTTTTTTTTTTTTTTTATTGAAAAAAAAATCAAAAAAAGGGTTAGAGAATATGGAACGGTGAGAAAGTTACCAGAGCGGGACGACAGTGAATAAGTCATTGCCTCCGTGTAGATTTTTCATGGTTGAGAGGACTGTTTCAACAGAAAGGAGAGAAGCAGCAAAAAAGAAAAAAATACAGAAGGGGTGGGCGATTCGATGATGAATATGGGAAGGTGGCCGGGGACCCAGCTGTGCTGTAAAATGCACCTTCGTGAAGGGGTTATATGTTTTGTATAAAATAAGGATTAACTAACAGTGTCGGTCACTTCAGGGAGGAACTGTGTTGAACTTGGCCTGCGTTCAGGTAGCACCCACAAGGCAGCGACGCAAACCAGAGGCGACCCTGACAGATGTGCGTTTTCCCTCAAAGCAGAACAGCTAAAGAGAAATGTAGCGTGGTGATTTTCACAGCCTGTGGGTAGTTCTCCGTCATCAGACAGGATGTGATATTCATCACACAGCAGAATGAGAGATATTTTTCATGTAGTGCTGATGTTGTACAGAGCTGAGGAGTATTTCCCCCTCACACACTTCTTCTCTCTTTAGTTTCTCGCACACTAAAATGTTTCAGATCAGCAACACAATCTTAGTGTCAGACAAAAATAAACTGAGTAAATAAAAATTTCAGTTTTCAAATCGTCATTGTCTTTATTATGGGAGTAATAATTCATCTCTGAAATACGTGTGTCTTTATATTTCAAGTCAAAGTTTCAAGTCAGCTTGCAAACTCCTTTGTAAGTTATAGTTTGGATTTTTGACTTGGGCAGAAGATTTAACACAGATAATAAGAACAGAGCTCGAGTGGAAGATGGTGGTATTTACTCAAATAAAAAAGGACAAAAATAAAAAGTCTTTTTTTTTTCTATCTTCCACCCACTTCAGGCCCAGCACCACCCTGCTGGAGCCAGGGAGCCCTGAGGCGTCCTCCGCAGTGGGCACAGTGGAGGACTGGCTGCAGGCCATTGGCATGGAGAGATACAGTGACAACTTCACTGCAGCCGGCTACACCACTCCGGAAGCTGTGGTCCACATGACACAGGAGTGAGTACAAACGGGTGGTAACAGAGACAAAAAGGAAGGAAAGACTGGAAACAAAGAAGTAAAATTGATTAATAATAACAACTTTTTAAGTTTCTATGACCTTAAATAGCTAGAAAAATCCTTAAACATATCCCAGCAATGATCACACTTGTTGATGAAAAAATAATCCACACCTTTAAGACATGAAAGAACTTGATGTTCCTCATAATCTGCCTCATGTCTATACCTGTGTTTTTAATACATGAAGACATGACAAAAATGTCACGAGCTGAAGATGTTAAATTCTGCATCTTTATTTGCTTCCTACAGTCTGCTAATTGGTGACCATATAAAAAATGTCTTTTTAATTTGTATTTAAAATATATTAGTGCTTTATAATAAATGAAGCATTGGTAATTCCAACACAATTCTATATGGACTTTAATCTTTTTCTTTCTTTTTTTTTCTACCGTTAGAAAACGGTAGAAAAAAGCAAGCAAAACAGAACTAAGTTTTGCTTACTCGTAAGAAAAAAAAAACTTATACAACAGAAAAACTGTTCAGCCAATTCCCAGTGATGTAAAATTCATCATCTATATATATTTTTTTAATTTTCTAAAAAAAAACAAAACATTTTTTTCCTCGTCTTTTTTTCAGGGACATGGCACGCATAGGCATCTCCTCTGCTGCGCATCAGAACAAGATCCTGACCAGCGTCCAGAGTATGCTGTCCCAAATGCAACAGATCCAAGGCAGAATGGTTCCTGTCTGAGAGGAGGAAGCAAAGGAATCAAAAAGACTTTTTTTTTTCTTACAAAAAGAAAGAAAAGATAATAAAAAAAATTTTAAATATAAAGAAAAAAAGACAAACTATGAAGAAATAGTTTACCTCATCAACGCACTTTAAATTGGATCTAAAAGAAAACAAGACCTTGATGATGAAGAAGAAAAAAAAAAAGGTGTCTAAACTGGCACTTTTTCAAAAATCTGACCTTTACCTTCCCCCTTTTTTGTTGTTTTGGAGAATGGAACACTTCTGTCTGCAGCATTTTTTTGGATTCACGGGGCGGGCGGCTGAAAAAGTGCTTCCAAGAGGCCAATCTGGAGTGCCTTTAAAGGTCTGGAAGGAAGGAGGGAGGTATTGGGATCTGACATTTCTTCCTCCTCTTGGGCAAACAGCTATCTCTTGGAACTTTCCCTCTGGAATAGTCCAAGGAACAGACTTTTTGAATTTCCTGTGACTGTGTTTATAGTACATGACTTGTTTCTGCGGGACTCAAAGGCTGCCCCGGCCACCGTTGTTCTCTTTCTCTCCGTCAGCTGGATCTGTTTGATATCTCTTGGAAAGTGGAGGATGCTACCTGCGAATATCTCAGAGGTTGAGGGCTGCAGTCTTTGGGGAGATGTTGGTGCAGTGAAAGCTTATTTCAAGGAGTTTTTTTTTTTTTTTGTGGTCTTGCCTCTCTTCTGACCTTGTTTTTCTCCCAGAATGCCAGATTTTGCTGCCCGCTGGGCGTTACTGAGAATGTCTTTGATCTTCCGAAGGAGACTTCCCACACCCCTGTCTTCCCAAAAAACAATCCCTCCTACACCTTCGATAAAAACACACTTTGGATTCTTCCATTTGTCTCCCATCGGAATCAAAGCCCTCACCTCGCCGCTACAGACTATTCGTAACCACTCTGAACGGACGCTTGTTCGGAACGCCTGAATTGGTTGCATAAACCGGAGGCAAGATGATGGATTTTACTTTCTCTCAAAAGGATAATGTGGATATAAATGGAAACGCAGTCATCAGCTCCAAGAAAAGAAAAGAAAAAAAGAAGAAAAAAAAACTAGAAAATATTGGAGGATTACTGAAGCTGTCATCAAGGTGAGTACTTTTCCATTCTGCTGCCCAAACCAACAAACACATAAAGAAACTGAATTAGGCTTTCCTTTGTTGTGGTGTTGAGTTTCTAATGTCATGCATGTGCAGCTACAAAGTGAGAGTCACCAGATCTCCCCTGGACCTCCCCAACACTGGCCCCTGTGCTCCAGAAGCCGTGTTAATTAACACGCAGGTTGCACCACCTCAGGCAACCGGAGCAGATCAATAGGCACTGTTCTGTGATCAGTCTGCAGGCCTGTTGCCTCTGGCATCTTAATGAGAAGAATTAATCAGAAGCTGACACCCAGTCAGCCAAACGGAGCTTTTGGAAAAGGGTTTGGAAAATTTAAAGATCCCACTACGAGGTGCAGCTGCGGTCTCGGTGTATTTGGGTGAACAATGGTGATGTCACTGTTTCTCCTCTTGCCTGTGCTCTCTTGAGAAATGTGCATTTTTTAAATGAGTTCAGTTAATTAGGATGGTAAAATACAGATTTAGCTTACACAGCCAGTTGATTCTCTACTGAGCTCCATAAGCACTTTTCTCAAGTCGGAGCTCCAATGTTATTGGATGTGTGTAAAAGATTTTTTTTTTTTTTTTTTTTTTTTTATGAAAACACCACTGTTAACCCAAAATGGCACTTTTTGCTTCATTTCTCTAGTGGTGAGCATTTGAGATTTACTCGATGCAGATGTGCATTTTTGCCCTATTAGAGTGAGATTTTTATACTTTTTTAAAATAGAAATCGTAAAGTCTTTGTTTATTTATTAGCTATTTAAAATGCCATTTTATTATTAGTGGGATCATGAACATCTGGTGACTTTTACCAGATAACAAACTTGGCTGATTTGCAAGCTTTTTGACAAAATGAGGGACTCCTATTCAGTTTTAGTTAAAAGAACTGACAGAACACATTAAGAATAGGGAAAAAAACAATAAACCCATTAAAATGATACCTTAGGGAACAGCATGGTTTTGCTTTAAAGATGCACATGTTTGACATTTGTTCTATTTTTTTCTGTTTTGATCGACAAAAATGTGCAGATGCCTCTTCTGTAAACATTTGAATCTATTGATTTTTCAATAATATATTGTATATTTATGCTGGGCAAGTAAAAGAAAACCAGATTGTTTCTAATTAAGGGAAAAACATTACTCACGAGGGCTTTAAAATTGAACTGTAAATATTATGAATATGGTCCGTGGTTTGGTGTCTGACTATTTTCTGGACCATGCAAGTTTGTATGTTATCTGTCCGTCACATCATTTCACCAGATCAGCGGATTGTGAGTTCACCAGGAAAATTCTCAAACGACGACGAGGCACAGAAAAGCACAGGAACGCACCATCTTCAATGATGTTGCGCAGCTTTTTTTAATCACCAGTGCCCTTTATTTAAACGTAATCTGACAGGAAGGGAGCAGAGAGAGCAAAGGCTCAGAGGACTGGGCACTCGCTCCAACCTCTGCGCCACCCAACAACATGGAGGGCAGCTCCATGTTGTTGACGGATAAAATCCCGACGGGTAACGTCTAAAAGCTTTTACCAGTAACTTTTGGTGAACTTGGACCGACCTGCGGAGTGGCAGCTTAGTGAACCAACAGGACCTCAGTGCAGCAACATGCTCCTCATTTGGCTGAGAAAACAGCTGCAAATTTAACAACAATTTGAATCTTGTTCATCTGCTAGCATGGCGTCACACATATAAAGTTTGTCAATTTGACTCTTGTTTCAAGAATCGTCTCTAAAGCTTGTGTCTTAAATAGCTATTAGCTAACTAATTTATTTCTTCACTTTTCTCTGTGCGTATTCAAATATTTCTTCAAATTTCTTCATGAGAAACTGTTAACGACTGAACAAAAGCGTTATCACAGCTTGCCAACATATCCTGCTCCAACAGCACCGGCTCAAAGTCATCAAACACAGATGCTGTATAGCTGCCTATTTGTGTGCTTTTGATTTGTGCCAATAAATCAAGGACGCATATCGAATATCGCACACATATACTTTGCATTATCTCTGCCTGGCACTCTCTGACGCTGGACTTTTTTGGCCGGGGAGTCCAATGTGCCGTCGAGCTGCAGAGCAGCGTAGTTGGTTGGAATTAGATGCAGAGTAGAAACAGTTTACATTGAAAACCGCCGTGACTGATGCAGCTTCTCAGAACCTTCTTTTCTTTCTTTCTCCCCAGATGCTGCCGTCCATCAATAACACGGGGATCTTGGCCTCGTTTGCCACGAGTGGATATTTCTTTTTTTGCCGCTCTTCTTCCTTCTTCCTTGTCGTCCTGCTTCCTTCTCAGCCTCTCCTTTTGGGGCGTCTCCTCCACCGATGAGAAGACAAATCAATTCACGCACGCCTGGGATGTTCACCGTAGCAGCATCTCGGCTTGACAGCGTAGCCACCCCTGTGGCCATCCGGCGACGAGTTGGAGTTGCTATGAATGAATTTAACAGCTTAAAAAAAAAAAAAAGATAAAAAAACAAGAAGAATGTAATATAACAGAGAAAACCTGCTTTGGTGGATAAAATACTTTTTTAATTCACTTCAATTGTGATTTTATTTGATCTCTTTGCATGTAGAGTAAATAGGGTTTAATTTGAGTGTGAGAATGAGATGTGTGCGTGTGTGTTCTCTGATTGACATTTGTAATTGTGTCTGTTTTCATGCCACTGTTGAGAAGGGAGGAGATAACAGAGCTGTATAGTTTTTGATATGAAAAAAAATGAAAAAGCCTGGACTATATTTTTTTTCTTTTTGTGTCATCTGTAAAAAAAAAAAAAAGAGAGAGAGAGAGAGAACATAAGGTGTGTTGCTCACGTCATTTATGCTTTCCTCAGCAACAGCATTTAATGAACAGCTTTTCTGGAGTGAAACCCATTTGGAGCGGCGTTGCAGTTGGACACAACCGAGACACTAAACGTCTCCAGCGCATACAAAAAGCAGATTGGAGTTTGGACTCTTCGTGCTCGTTATGAATCATGGAGGAAACACTTTCTGGATGTGAGAATGGGCGCGGTCAAAAGTGACGCACCTGGACAGAACAAAGGATCAGAGGGCGAGGGAGGGGGGGAGGGGGGGATGTCTAAAGAGGATTTGTTGTTTAATTTTCCGGAGTACATCATAAAGCTACAGGTTGACCACAATGGACTATATTCGTTTTCTTCCTTTTCTCTACAAACTATATACTCATGTGAATGTTTCTGAACTCTTGAGAGACGATTCATATACAGTAATAGAACACCTCCATCCTTAATAGAGCTCTGCAATCCTTTCTAATTGTTTTCCTTTTTGGGGGGGGGAGTTACTTCTTGAAAATGGACCTGCTTGGATATATGCAAGATATGCTTGGAAGGAGAAGGAAACCAGAATGTACTGTAAAATACTTTTTTCCTTTACTTAAATGTCAGATAAGTTTAAAAACAAAAAAAAAAAGAAAGAAAAAAATGAACATAACGCAAGGGTTAATGTTTGTCATTGTATGCCTTCCGATGCCATAATGATCTAGACATGTAGATCTAACATCCTCTTGATCCTTTTTGTATTTTTTTTTCTTTTTTCGGACATTATAATTTTTTTTTTGTTGTTTTGTTTTTGTTTTTCGGTTAAGGAGCTATAGGTACATGTAACTTATGTCATTTATTTATGTCCTTTTATATCTAGTTTGTAAAATAATAGCCTAAAGTGAAGTAAATAAACGGGGTGCCAAGGTGCATTCTTATTAAAGTAGAAACTATGTGACTGACTCTGTGCCTTTTCTCTGCACACGGCCTCCGGTTCCTCATGCATTTTCATCCAATCACTAGAAACACTAGTAGTACTGTAGAGACACAATGATCAGCTAAAGATTTCCAACTTTTAGTTTTTAGAAATTTATGTTGCACTATAGCAGTTAGCATGGAAGGCATTACTAAAACAACAGCCTCCATTTAGTAAAGAAAGAAGACACTTACCTTAAGGTGTTAGTTGGGATTTTTTGAACTTCACTTTTAAGTGAGGTGGTTTTAAGCTGCACAGTGGTGCAGTTGGTAGAGCTGTTGTCTTGCAGCAAGAAGGTCCTGGGTTCGATTCCTGGCTAGGGGTCTTTCTGCATGGAGTTTGCATGGGTTCTCTCTGGGTACTCTGGCTCTCCCCCCCCCATACAGTCCAAAAACATGACTATCAGGTTAACTGGTCTGTATAAATTATCCTTAGGTGAGCGTGTGTGTTTGTGTTGCCCTGTGACAACACAAACAACATTAAGTAACTTAGTGGGGTCAGGCATGGGTGTAAGAAAATGGATGGATGGGTTTTGAGGTATTATCTCTAATCGTTTCATAGACAGCTGTATCTGGAATTTATACATTGCAATACCAACTATTCAAAGTACTTTAGAGCTACTTTTCCCAGTGAATGTGGTATAAAATACACCTTTCATACTCATACATACACCAGCACGTATATATTGGTTGGCAGCCGGGGATTACAATAAGTCAAGTTTGAATTGTGGTTTGCTGAAAAGCAAGTCAGATGTATGCGATCGATATTCACATCAGTAGGACAATACGCTTTCTTAGTTTATTAACGGTCTACAAGTTTTGTCTCAAACGTAATGACGTTACGCTTCCAGTCATACGACATCTGGAAATGTTTTAATTTTTGGGACTCTGGCGTTAGGTTGGCTGATCATTTGTTTAGATCAGGTGGGACTCACCAGACGACCCGAATGCGAGTCGTCTTTTCTCTGTAAAATTGTCCACATTGAAGACTGTCCAAATGATCAGTTCTGCTCAAGTAGGCTAAACATTCTGCCAGTCATCAGTCTGTCCCCATTTTCCACTGAATCACATTGATCCATTTAGTAAGAGGGAAAAGGGTTAAAATAGCACATCAAGCAATCTACTTTGTTTTATACTTCTCACACTTACCTGACTTAACTGAAAGGAGAAACGCAGATTCTCAGAATGATAGAAATGGCCGCTCTTTTGGTAAGTTGAGGCTCCGTTCAGCACATGCTCAGCAGATAACATAACTCTGGAAGTCTCAAAGATTGGCCCTCGACTCCTGTCAGGCCTTTAGCCTGTTGCTTGTGCCATTTTCCGCTTGACAAAGAACTTGTGTGTTTGTGTGTAATCAGGACAGCATCTTCTTGCTCTCACTTCCAGCAGCGATAAAACTCTCATCGACTGACTCTTTGATTAAGTTTGGAGGAACGATAGTTTGAGGTGAGAAGGAAAGGACGGTTTTAGAAACAGAGCTCATGTAAACCTTGAGCCAAATTGTTTTTTTTGTTGTTGTTTTTTTCCACCTTCTACAACATCAGCAGTGAAAAGGCTTTAACAAGCATTAAACCCCTGAAGGTTGCAGAGGAAGCCGGCTGCTATCTGCCTCAGAGGAAAAGTATGCCTCCGCTGCAGACTGCTGGCAAGCTTATCGTGGAAGTAAAACAGAAGATTGGCCAGGCTGAGATTGATTAATTTCCTCTGTCTGAGAACACCCTTTTTGTTATTTTGATAAATTGCGAATTATTAAATTTATAGCTGAAAAGTTACTTAATGTTATTCTAAAGAGTGCTCCATGTGTCCATATCAAGTTTCCCCACAATTACAAAAACCTTTCTTTTTTATTCAAAAGTATGTATGCATAATATTTTCACATAGAATGACAGAAATAATGGGGGGGTTTTTTATTCAAAATGTTGCAAATTGTGATTTATTTCTCTTAATTTTCCACAGAAGTTGAATGTTCCACACAGGAAAATGCATCTAAAAACTAAAATAAAATAGCTCACTACAATTTAAAAGACTTAAAATATTTCTTATAGTGTGTATTACAGCTATAAATTATTTTGTTTTAAAGACTCAGGTTGGTTTTGTAGCTGCAGGCAGATTTTTATCTGAACCAAATGTTAAAATGACTCCAAGGTTTGTAAAGGTTTCTGTGTTAGACCAACACAAAATGTACACAACTCTTAAGTGGAAGGGAAATGTCAGATGGCTGTCAAAGGTGACTTAAAATAAAAATCTGGAAAAGGCTTTCAAGCCCCCTTTACTCTAAAAACCCCAAAGAAAATCCCAGATTGTCCAATTGCCTTCTGAAGAAACTGATTCTATGTGTAATTTAATCACTGTATGAATCCAGCCTCTGAGGTTTGTTGGAAAACATTAGTGAACTAACATCATCATGAAATCTTAATAATACTACGTAGGTCAGGAGGAAAGAGAGCGTTTATCCGAGAAGCAACCAAGGTATCCATGGTAATGATGGGGGAGTTGCAGTGAGCCACAGCTCGGGTGGGATTATCTGGTAACAGAACCAGCATCACACACTCCACACGTCTGGATGCAGTGGAAGAGAAAAAAAGACAAAAATCGTTGTTAAAACAGAGCCTTAAGAAGTATTTTTAAGAAGCAAAGTTTCCCACAGATCGCGAATGGGACACATCAACCGTGTGGTAGAATGTGTTCCTGTCAGCTGAAAACAAAACTGTAGGGAATGTCAAACCAAGACTCCACAAGGCCCTGAAAGCAACATCCCAGAAGTGCAACATGTTGATGGCAGCTATGGGGAGGCTTTTCTTCAGCAGGGATGTGTAATCTGTGAGGATATTATGGAAATATGCATGGAGCTAAATGAGGATAATCCTGGAAGAAAACCCATTAGAGACTTAAAAAAAGACTTATGACTGAGATAGGGTTTTGTCAGATGGTTGTCAAAGTTGTCAAAGGTGACTTTGACAACCATCTGTTGTCCAACAGGACAACAGGACAACAACCCAAATAATACAGCCAAAGTGGCAATAAACTGGTTTAAATCCAATCATCTTCATATTTTGGAATAGCCCAAAGTCCAGACCTGATGAGATTTACACAATTTCTAATTGAGCTACTTTGAAAAGAAGAATGTCTTTAAAAGAAAAATCAGTCTCTGAATGAAAAAGCCTATAGAAACATATATTGAAAGACCTATATGTATAAAGCTAACGGGATAAACAAACACAGTTCAGAACTAGAAAATGTGCTAAATGTGCTAAGAGAACCAAATAAGGACAGAAAAACAATTGATAAGACCATTTTTAAATCCCAGAACAGAGAGAGCAAGATAAAACAATCCAGACACCACAATTTTAGACTTACTTTACTAGAACGTAAAGTAAGTCAAAGAAAAGTTCAGGTGGCTGAGAGTCAGCTGGCATATTGCTCTTTTCCTCACACAAACAGTTTCATCCAAAACCTCATTCAGACAATGTGGCTTGGTTAAGAATAAAACACAGATGGTGAGGAAAACAAACCCACCGTTGTGTTTTACAGGAGACTTATTTAAGACGCTTTGAATTTATGATAAAAACTCTGACATACCATTTCATTTTTAACCAGATCTCTCTTTTTATTAGGTTTGTTTGTCACTACTAAAACTCTCCCAAACACAGCGAGGCTCTGAATGAAATTCTGACTGATTAGAAATGCAGTCCAGAGGCAAGCAGGATAAGAAGTTTTTTGCCAGCAGT